TAATCAAGAAGAACAAAATAAGAATCCTTCTTAAGAAATACCTTAATTCAATGTGAATTAAAAAAAAAAAATTTCAATTATATTTTTATCACCTAAATTCATAAAAAATAACTACAATAAAAGTAAAAAATTTCTGACTACAGGACGCGGACTTGATCCGATAGGTAAGAAACCATGTACCTTCGTGACTTGACTGAAGAGGATTACATACTTGGCTTACATTTCATATTTATGTAAGGTACAAATGTCACGCACCTAATTTTATATACATAACATGTTACTTTAACTTTATCAAAAAATTAACTTTTGTTTTTGTTGACTTACTAAATATAAACATTCGTGTCTTTTTAGAATAGTAATTTTTATTTATGTCTTACTATAAAAAAATTTTAATTTATGTTTATTTTTAAAATTCAGTTTGATTTTATTACATGTTTCAAAATAATAGTTTGTTAGCAAATAATTTAATAAAAACATAAAATTAATTTGAATATTTTACAACACGACTTTTGTGACGCGTCTGGTGGCTACGTTACTTTAACTCTACAGTAATACATAAGAATAATCAAAGAATACTAAGAACATACTTTAGTTAACGTTCATAGAAATTTTTTTATCCTTTTTTGAACACTATAAGAATCTTTAAAGAATTCTATCTATGCAGAGATTCGCATATTTTTTCAACAATTTTTTTACCCCGAAAATCTGCCATTCAGGATATCGCTCAGTCTTCCTGTAATCAACACCCCTTACGCATTTCGTACGGACAGCATTACAAATCGTTATTAAAAAGTAAATATGTATTTTTAACATCGCGATATCATGCAAAAATGTAATACAAAAAAAAACTTGTTTTTCTCCGTAGTTCTTATAAAATGACCAGAAATCATGGGGTTTAATAACATCCCTGCGACATTTCACAAATCTTTTTAGCAGATACGCAAAAATATTTTTTCCTCTTATTAAGTTAAAAATTCTGATATTCTACATTTTCGACTTCAACATATTTTCGCGATCCTTCTCCTACGTAATCTATTAATTCTGTAATTGAAATTAAAAAATCCATCGCTTTGTTACACACGAAATTTAAGACTTTAAACTGAAGGAATGGCCTACTTCGCGCTAACTCGTTTGAACATCAATAATGCAGGAGGTTTGGGTACCAAGTTTGGCCACCTTGCAGTGCTAGTAGAGACTGCATTTTCATTCTTATAAATTCTGCTGCAACCAGACAGAGCTTGTTTACATTAAATGTGCGAATAAATAGATAGCAGTTTTATAAAGCCGTACCCAGCGCACTATGTAAACAGCTGATATAATAAAACACAAACTCCAAAATTTTATATTTCANTCGATTTGAAATTTTCAGGGCTTATTAACACCATCAAGGCGCACAATTTCCAATTATTTTGGAAACATTTGCTCTGAAGGGGTATTTGTTATTAACATTCGAAAAAAACGCTATTTTTAGTGGTTTTTTTAACTTTGCGGACGAACGAAATAACCGATTTTATTTATTTATTTTTTGTTCTTGTAGGTCTTTTTCAGAACTACATTTTTTGTCTGAACCACTTTTTTGTATGATTTACAGTTTTCACGCGATATCAAATTTGGTAATTTTCGCTACTATCCGAATTTTTTTAACAATGTTGCACTAAAAATCAGCTGTTCCTGGAGACGGATATTGAAAAGTTTAAGTTTCTTGTGTATGAATACATTTTTTTTCTGCAGTATCTGTAAGTTTTCAGAATGGGGTCCACAGCAGGTAGAATCTCTTACTCTATCAGTGCCTCCTTATCTGCCGCATGAATGTAGCATGCGAGCTGGAAAAAAATTTGTTTACGTTTTGCAAATATCTCCGTAACTGCAGACGCAATTTTGTTAAAACTTTGCACGTGTACGAATGAAGTTGTCATAAATTACATAATAGTTTTTCAAAACATTGTCATCGCTGTGTCAAGAGTAATAGGTATTTTTCTACAGCTTTTTTAATAACTTACATTTGAGCCCATGTTAAAGATGACAAAAAAGGGAAACTTCATAAATTTTTTTTCTCGAAATCTGTAGACGCGATTGTATTCAAATTTGGTGACTACATCCTCGCAATGTTTCTTTGCAACATATAATTTTTTCCAAACATTTTCATCATTAAGTGAATTGCGACCCAACTCCCTTAAAACAAATTAAGTTTGTCCCGTTACAGGTGAATTAAATATAAGTTTACAAGTTTGATTGTTAAACACTTATAAGGAAAAAAATCAATAATTTATTTTTCGAAAGTGAAGTATTTTTATAGGGAAAAAGCCTTCACAGAGTCTGGCAAATTCTTCAGATGTCCGCTGTAGAGATTGTGACCATCGAAAAAGGCTTTACTATTTCACGCTTTTCTCTTGTTTCACTAAACAGAACTTGTTAAAATTTCAAATACGGACTTAGACCTAATCTTACAAAAACGCTTAAGTTATGATTTTGTAAAGTATCAGGATAAACAAAAATCTAACATCTCTAAGGCCAACATCTTGAGAAAGTTTTGGGCGACCTGATATCGGCGCAAAGCTACTGTGATTCAATTTAATTATTTCTAATAAATACTTGGTTTCTAGCCCACAAAGGGTATCTCTGCATGGGCAGGTACTATAGATGGTGTATTTAAGTTAGTAATTTGTACTTACCTACCATTATAAAATGATTGCATATGCTTGGAAAATTGAAAAAAGCCTTAGAAAATTAATACTAAATTATAAAAGGATCTTTCACTTGAAAAGGACAGCTGTGATATATGAAACATTAAATTATTGGTTTATACTTCGAAACAATCAATTTTCAATGTATCACACTTTAAATCTTAGGCTCACTGCATTTCAAACATTCTATGTCTAGATTTTTACATTGAATGAATAGATTATTAAGTTATATGAAACTGATTGAATCAAAAGTATGTTATAATACAGAAGTAAAAATTATTACATAGTTATGATTCAATCACCGACTAGTAACTTAGTTACTTACTTTGTCATCTGCAGCAAGACTTCTTAATTTCATTCTCAACAAAAATCTCAAAAAGTTAGTTGTTCCAAGAGTTTGGACATCCAGAACCCTACATAGAGCAATTAATTGTTGACGAGATAGAGAATCAAGAGTAATCTCATCCTCGAATAGCTTACTAAATTTCATTATATCTTCATTTGACGCCACTGAACCTGTTGTTCTAAGCTTATAAAAAAAATCTACGAATTCCTTAGCTCTTTCAGAGTGATTATTTGATGACTGCACAGCCATTTCATCTAATGTTTTTTGTAAAAACTTTGCCATTTCAATTTTTACCTTAAAATAAATGTTATGTATGTAATGTACAATGAAACTCAGTTACCAAAATTCTTCTTAGTAAAAACTTCATACTTTCAAAGCTTGTTTAAGTTTATCTTCTTTTTCATTTGCTGTTTGGAAAGTAGAAGGCAATAATCCAGGAAAAAGTTTGATTGCTAATGGGAGTAAGAATTCCATAAATGGAACAATGATGAAAACGGAAAATGGAATGAGCCTGAACATATCACCAGTAGTTTTGATAAGCTGAAAAACAAATGGTATGTTATAAAATAAATTTATCTTCTTTTAATTATGAGACCTTACTAATCTGTGTTCTCTTCTGTTTAACTCGTATCCTTGCAAAATTCTGCAGATGAGTTTACCTGATACTTTCATATCTAAGTATAGTAACCTGAACCCATGATAGTAATGTAATAGTTCTGCTTTGATTTTTTGCCAGAGATTTTTTTTGCTTTCAATAGCTTTACCAGGTACCTGTGTAATGGCTGTTATTGTATAACTGTTGACTTTTTGATTTTCTTTTTCTTCTTTTATTGTTTTTATTGCTTCTTCAACTTTCGAAGATGGTTCTTGGCCTTTCAAAAGTGTCCCAGAGTGATAAAAATTGGCTAACTGATTGTTAGCTTGAAATTGTTCACATGTAGAAAATTCGATGATACCCAGTTGTGAAATTTTGTTTATTTCGATATTTCTACAATATGAAAGTGGATTGGAATAAAATCCTTTGTTGCTCCAAGATTTTTTACATAAAAAACCTAAGATATTAAAATTAATAGTAAAAATTAGCAAAAACACCACTAAAACTTATTAAATGAACTGATAAAAATTAAGCACTCACGTCTTAAAGGGGCGTAGGAAAAGTGTCTTGGCCACATATTAGAAATTGCTGGGTGCATGACAGAACGCATTATTCTTTATACGTTAATGAATAATTGTATTTATTGGTATTAATACATAGATATACTATTTTTAAATGTAACAATGTTAGTTTACATAATTAACAAGATAATAACCACGAATAAATAATAAATAACAAATAAATAAATAAATACAACTGCGGGCTGTAGTACAATGAATGAAGAGGAGTAAAGGCCTACACAACAAGTTGCCGTAACGAACAAGAAGCAGTATAGTTAAAGCAATGATGCGTAATTATAGCATAAGCAAAATAACCGGATGATACTTGGTAACATTGCAGTAGAAACGATTTCCAACCTTTCGTTTAGTTAAACTAATGCTCTCCATTCATCGAGAACCGAGATATGAGGGGATGAAAAAAAAATTTTTTTTGCTTGTTAACCAAACCAAACGACGGTTTACAGAAAAAATACACCTTACGTATATTACAAAATTTTTGCCAGCCGAAACATACTGGCTGATTTGAAACGCGGAATAATTAAAAAAAAATTGTTTGAATGTACGTAATTATCGA